CTTTTAACTGTGATCAGAAATGCTACAAAGGATAAAACGAAGTTATTAGTTATGAAGGTTTTAAATCTACTTTATGTAAGAAATTCTTTCGTTAGATAAAGGTTAACTAGGTGAAATATCGTTGAAATACGTTTCGTACTATGGAATTAACTAAGTGATTATTAAAAACATCCTTTCGGTTCAAGCTGTTCTTGTTCGCCCATATATACAGCTTTTCTGCTGTCAATCTTTCCTTATGGGTGTTAAAACCTTTCTGAAGTATTTTGATCCCTTCAAGATTAATCTTGTGTCCTGTTTCTAACGCAATTAACGCTATTGCAGACTTATTCTCAAGTTTCTTCAAATCAACCGAGGATTTTGGAACATTTTTCAAACATTGTTTGTGTTCCTACAACCTTAGATTCAATTGTCTGGATGTTTCTCCAACATAAGCTGCATTACAATCATGATAGTCGGTCTCATAGACAATATTCTGTTGTTCTTCCTCTGGCAACCTGTCCTTAACTTTCACTAGTGTCGATATTAACGTGTTACTCACCCTTAAATACACTCTTATATCATGTTTTTTTTAGAATCCGCTTGTTTTCTTCTGATGTTTCACCACGGTATGGGATGACTATAGTGTACTTCCAAACTTTTCGTGTACATTGTAATTTAATTTTTCTCTCATTTTTAACAATCTTCTTTGAAAACTCTTTTGGGTAGTTGTTATCCCTAATTAAAAATAAACAAACATGCCTTTCATAGTTCACATTATGACTTAACCTTAATTAAACCAATACTGAAAACCAAGAAGCACTAAACAGTTGTTTCATTAAGGAATAGGACTCTTGCAATTTGTCTAATTATAAATCAAGTTTAGAACCGTTAGTGATTGGGGCAGCTTCTTATTCTTTATACCATTGAGTTAGCATCTAGTTGTTCAAATTTTAAACTTCAATTAGTGATTGTTTGCAAGTATTCAATAGTTGTTTAACTAAAATCATTTGGTTATGTATAATATAAAACCTGATAATTGTTACAAAGTCCTCATGAGAATATAATTTTCATTTGTTTTACTATTTAATCTAATTAGCTTTACATTATGTCTGCATTTACTTTTATTAATCTTGCTAAAATCAAAGTGTTTTTCTTATATTTTAGTTATAAAAAATTTGCCACTCAGAATGCGGATATTAGTTTTGAGTATATAAAAACTAAAGTTAAAAAAGATCATTGTATTTTAGACGAATCATTGTGACTTTTAGTAATGGTTATGCTATACTTTTTAATTATTTTATGTTATATACTTTTCACATATAGGTAAGAAAAAAGTGTTCGGAACATTTTTTTTAGTTGCTATGCATATAAGGATAACATTTTACTAAATCTCAAAATATTCATATTTTTTCTCATAAGACTTAACAAAAAAAGAACAAGACAGAGTATTTTAATGTTATCTATACAGGCAAAACATTTTAGAATTTACTTGCGTTTTGAAGAGATTATCGCAAACTGGTTGTTAAGATGTGACAGAACAAACATTGAAAGGTGTTACTGAGGAAGTGTCAAACTTTGTCTGAAAGATATTTGTCATAGTAAATGTTATATTAGAAGTAACACTAGGGTATTTGTTAAGCGGCTTTTAAATGGTTATCACTTCTGGGCTTCTTAGAAAACAGGAAATTTACAACCCAGTAACATGATTATAATTATTTATTGAAGTATTAAATCTGTCGATATTGTAAATTGCATATATTCATTAGGTTTCTTTTTAACTTGTGTCATTTACTTTCCAGTCCAAGTTATCCAAATATAAACAAAACGTGAAAAACAATTAAGGGAGAATAGTTGCTTACAGTCTTATTCATATTTAAGCATGACATGGAGATATAATATGAAGTGATCGAAAATGTTGGGGGAATAAGATGCAATTACAGTTATCAATATATATATATAGAACAGAACACGTGTCCTTGATTTCACTTCTAGCTACATTCTATCTATTCTGTATAAAAGTATGACAATGGCCACATTTAAGCATTCTACACATTATGTGCATAAATCAACTAACACCAATCAAAATTCATTCAAATTATTAACTGCGAGTTAATCCACACCACTAGAAATTAAACAAAATGCTAAACTGTCGTTTCTGAATATTTTTTAAGTTGTTTCCCATTCATCTGTTAAATAATACTGTTTCTTATGAATTTTTATAGATGATTTAAAAATCTGTCCCATAATGTAAATAGAAATATAATGTAGATGTATATTTATTGACGATACTTTCTTAGCAAAGTAATTTATTTCATTTGAAACGTATGCTTATGGCATGATTATAGTATACTGTATATGAAGAATTAGACAAGGTTTCAATTCACAAATTGGGAAAAAATATTTATGGTAAGAAGTATTCCGAATAGAATTATAATATAATTTCTTACTATTTTGTACCACAGTTTTAAGTAAAATAGTTATTAAAGAGCAAGAGTATACATTCTTTCCTTTTTAATGTCTCATATCAACTCGGCGCCCAAATATTGTGAAAATATTCGATCAAATGTAGAAGGTTAAACCAGTGAACCATTCAATTTCAACTCGGAACGGTGTAGATTTGAAGGTAATTACATATAAATATATCTTTGAAGTTGTAATAAGTTCCGTTTTATTGATTTTTTATATTCTACTTCAATGGTTTTTTCTTACGGTAATATTTGCTTTGTTCTTGCTCATTTCAAAATGATAAAGGGAATTATGTGTATTTCGTACTTCTTATTTTAGATAACAAATAGGAAATAATTTGTAAAAAAAGTTAGATTAGTAACTAGTTTACTTATTCGCATATACGAGCGCATAAATTTGAATTTCCCTTTTATTTATTAATAATTTATTTGTTTATCATATAGTTTTCATTTGATTTTTATTTGATAAATTATGTTCTTTATTTTTTTAGTAATGGCTGTCATCCTCTTTTTTTTTATCTCCTCGTATATGAAAGTAAATTTTGTCTCTAAAAACATATAGTTCATTATATGATGCATGTAAAGTGTAATTAGCCTGGTCAATCCGTTGTATTGACTCAAGGCTATATGATAGATTATAGATACTGACGTGTGTGTACAATTGATCAGGACTTGGCTTTACTTTCTAAGGGAATGTATAAAAGCTATTAGCTTAAAATTTGTCCTGATTTTGTGAGGAAGATGAACGTATATATTTATGTGAATAAATTTATTCATATATTAGATTCAGGATGATTAAGTAAAGCTCTACACCCATCTTTCTTTTTGGTAGTCAATTAGCCTATTGGACTTGAGTCTGAAAAGCAAGTATATCAGTATCAGGTTTAATCCACTGTCCAACAAAACAGTGTGATATGAAATGCGTTTCTTTAAAAAAGATAAGACAGTATTTTGAATTTTTAAATGTAAAATAACAGCGAAATAAACGACATATTTTTCGTTCTTTTTCTTGACTTGTCAAATAGATGCCACGTTTATCCTTTAAATTAAACATATTATTCACTATTATGGAACAGTTATACATAGAGATTGATTTAATTTAGTTCTTTCACCTTATATTTTTTCAAATATAATTATACTGAACTTAAGAAAACTAATCATATGGGCAGACGAATTCAATCTGAATGTGTTTATTACTTAAAAATTGATTTTTAAATTTTTTCATTTATATTTCCTTTACATGATCATTTACCCATAAATTTGATTTATTGTGAGTGTTCGGTAATCAAAGTTTACTTTTATTGAAACTTTGATGAAAAAATATTTCTTCCATAAAATTTCCGCTTATAGATTCACTTATTATAACTGATTACGTGTTTTTTTTAATCATGTGTATACTTGTAAAGAGATTTATAAGGAAAAAAAATGGAAGAGAAGTCAACAAGTAAATTAAACAAAAGTACATTTATAGTATTCTTCTTTTCTTTTTTTTCTTCTTCACTTTAAGTGATATGATTAGTTAGAAATAGGTTGTTTAATGAGTTGAATAACAATAAAATATTGTTATCTATAAATATCATTACAAAAATGAAACAACATCAAGTACTGACTTTGTCAAATATGAATTGAGTAAATTTGTTCACAAGTACATAATAAGTATTTTTAATCCAGGTTGAAAATACTAGCTTATATATATGTATATAATGAGATAAAAGAACTTACTTATTTACACACATGTCAAATAATGATTATATGATTTACATTGAACAGCATCGAAAGAATATATACGTATTTCAAATAACCTCTGAAGAAGTGGCTTACACGAAGTCACGAAACTTCTGAAAATTTAATTCTTCCTACTTATTGAAATCTGTCTATTCATTTGAAATTATCAAGTCAAATCTTGGTAATGATACCTATAAATTATTATGCTTTATTTATGATTGAAAAAAAATTCCACTCAATCAGTAGAAATTCAAAACAACACAATGAGGTATTTCGGATAGAAACGTTGTAACAATATAACATTACTAATTAATGAATGAAAACCACTTTAAATGAATATATATATATATATATATATATATATATATATATATATATATATATATATATATATACAAATGTATCTGAAAAAGAAAGCCAATATATAATCTGTTTTTTAAACTTCTTTATATATACAAAAGACATTCATTAATGTTAAATGTTTATAGACAAAAAATGTGTTCGATTGTTTTGCCACAAAAAACAACAAACAAACAAACAGGCAAACAAACGAGAGTATAAATTTGTGACAAGATTTTTCAATTAATGATCTGGTAGAGAAAATAATTTTTTATATTAATTATTATCTTAAATAAATCTGTATGTGGGTAATTGAATAATTCCATTGATTGAAATTTATAATGATTTGACTATTTCTCTTTTTATGATTATGTAAGAAAGTTGAAATTAAACAAATAAATAATGAAGACATGAAATGAAACTGGTGAGACAATATAATGAAAGATATATTATGTTTTTAGAGTTTTACTCTTAGTTATGTACATAATATTTAGAATACAGATACATATTAGAAGGTTCTGTTTACTTATGTGTTTTATTAGGTTAATTGCTCTTTTTTTAAAGCATGATTCAATGGACAAAAATTTCAAAGGGGTGTTTGTATTTTTTGTTGTTGTTGGTAGTTTGTTTTATTTACTTTATTGTTTTATAATTAGTTATAACTAATTTTAAAAAAACACTTTATTTTACCGCCAAAATTATTTGCAAAATGATTGAAAAATATAAAAATATCTGAGAAACACATAAGTATGAGTTGGAATTTTTTATAGTTCGAGCCCTCATACGAGGATTTTGTGTTTCTAATAAATTGAATTTCACTTCATTTTCTTTAGAGAAAAATTTATTGATAATATCCATTGATTTAAGTTCATGATCTATATTAAATAAAAATATAAAATAAACATGAGTTATTGAATTACTTTTTATAGGTAGAAAACTTTAATTTATGAGAAGAACTTAAGCATTTCAATGAATAACATTTAAGTGTTGGCTAACGATAATTTCTATCATGAACTGACATCAGTTAACAGCCCATCAAAAGCTGAAGCTGACTAGTTTAATGTAATATAGTTTGGATGGTGTACAATCATGAACATGCATAACGCATAAATAACAGAATATTCAAATCTTATGGTGAAAATGAAATTATTAAGCTGGTAAATGTAAAGAGCATACGTCAATTTTTTTTTACAGCTTCAGTACTTTCCACGAATTACTGTGTTATAGACCATTTAGTTGATTCACTGATTTTCGTCACTTTGGTCAGTTCATCTTAGAGCTATTAATAAATCAAAGCGTAACTAATGATTACTGAAATAATTTTAAGATGTATATTTGGACAATCATTTTCACTGTAAACCATTGAAAAGTAATTTATCTGTTCAATTCTGTTTAGTGATAAATTAACAAATATATATAACATAATTTTAATAGTCGAGATACTGAGCCGACGTTAATGTCTAACTTCAACTAATCCACTAAATTGAACGACACATCCATTTTTGTCTTTAGTAAGTTACTATCTCACAACAATCTCAGCTCAGTGGTCCAGAGGTTAAGCGTTTGCACGCGAGGTCGATAGGTTATGGGTTTGAAACTCATGAGGCGGGATCGTGAATACGCACTGCTGAGGATTCCCGTAATACGACAAAATAGGCGTCCAGTTCTTCCAGGTTTCTTATGATGATCTAGCTTCAATGAACTCATGATCTCAACTACTAAAATTACTATAATATCCACCAAATCCTTTCCCATATATACCATCGTCAAAAATATTATACAAACTGCAGGATTTTTGCTGCATTCATTTGATTTATCATTAAAGACTATTTTACATTAATAAAAACCAGAAAAACAGTCAATTTCAGTTTTCCATTGACTTTATTTAATAAAATTATTATCTATTTTAATGTAATTTAGTTCTATTGTTATTCGCCACGTACAAGCTTTTTTTTTGTTCTTATTAAATTAATATCTTAAGGAATAAAACACATTGAAAATCTTATTTATTAGATTATTCTGATTATTTTTGTGATTATTTTTTTTTTTTTTTAAAAAAGAAGAAAACTATTACAACTCCCCCCACCCACACATACAAAGGAAAGATTTTATCATCTTAAAATAGTTGTTAAACTTCACTATATATTCAAGTGATTTTCTGTTTATTTATTTACTTTTGTGCATATGCGTGTGTAAGTGTGTGTGTGTATGTTTCAAAATTAAAACCAAAATAAATAAAAAAAACACACAGTAACAAACAAAAGATGTTTGTTGCAAACGACACAAATTGATGTAATTTTTTGAATGAGAAAAAAATATTTTGAATTATAACTGATAAATTAATAAAATAATTTGAAACTGAAGAAATATTCTAATAAAAATTATTATTATTCTTACTATTCATTGTTTAGTTACTAAGATCTACATCATTATTGTAAATTTGTTAAAATTTACTTTAATAATACACTAAACCTATTTATTGAATATTTTAGTTAATTGAATGGAACAAACGGTTTTAAAATAGTAACCATCTTTGTTTTTTTTTGTATTTTTTTATTTTAAGAAAATGCTCATTACAATTAGATAATTTAGTTTAGATAATAATGACTTAATAGATAATCTTTTATTTAGATCTATTTATTTATTAAAATGTTTTTTTAAAAAACGGGATGTTCACATATTTTATGTTTAATTTTTATTTTGTGTGTAAAAATCCTTAGTGATAAAAAAAATTCAAGAAAATGTTTTTTTTCTTCATTATTTAGATTGATTGATAATGAAGTTGGTTGTTTTTATTTAATAAATTAAGTTTAAAAGAAAAGATTTTCTTCTTTTTTCTTTCTTTTTTTTGCGTTTAAATGGTTAAATGTTTGTTGATAGATTTATAATTTGGTCATATTTATTTGGAATTACTTGTGTTTTTTTTTCTGAAATTCGAAATGATTGTCATAACTTAATATTCTAAGTCAGTTTGATTGTATTATCAATTAATTAATACAGTTTCTAGAATGAAATAGGAGGTCAAACCGATAGCTGGTTTACAGGAACAAAATTTTAGGTAACACAATTATTCAGGTAACAGGACAATAGGTAGATTGATGAAGTATATTAAAATATAAAAAAATAGTCACTATTATGAAAAATATTTATTCAAAATAGTGAATATGATTTATTTACTGAGGAATGGACGAATAAGCAGAAAAGAAATGAAAATTAAGAAATAACCATTTCATTTGTTTAGGTTCATCATAACGACATTAGACTGAATAGAGTGTGGTTTACTGAATTCAGAATCTTTGAAACATTTTTAGTATTATTTTAGTCATGCATTTTTATCATCTTTTTTTGTTTTGGTTGTTTTACAGAAGAAAGTTGCATATTAGAGTATACTTTACATCAGCAATTCCGTTTCAAGCCTAAACGCCTACTTTGTTTATGCTTTCCATCAGGAGAGTGCGACTTTGCTATACAGCAAATGTTTTTATCAGATATCTGTTAATAAAAATAGCCCGTTAAAATGAAATATGCAACTTCCGCGCACTAAATTAATGGGCAAATGTCCGGCCTATTTCATTTATTAAATACGCTGTTGGCAAATAACCTACTGTAAACATTTTCAGTCTTGTCAAATGTTGATAACATGTTGATATGGGAAAAATCCCTTGGTATTATGTTGAATAAGTAATAAATATATTTATGTATTTACACGTGTTTATCAAAAATGGGGTATTATTTTGGTGTGTGCTACTGATTTCGACAAATATAAGTTGTATGCGTCATTAATTGGAAGTGAAATACCTAGCGGAAGGAGGTTAAGAAGATCACAAAGAAGAAATCGAGAACAGAGAATGATTACTGTGAAAATGAAAGAACACGAAAGTTTGAGAAAATTGATTGACATTTTGCAAATGAAGTATTTACTTTATGGTTCTCAGATTTTACCAAGATATTCTGTAATTCTGTGTTGAAATACATTTGACTGTCCTGCTTGTGTTCTCGTTCACTATACTAAGAGCTATCAGGAATTAACCGTTCCGATTGGTCCAACCATAACTTTAATTTAAATTTATTGTTTACCTCCAATATTTTTAAAAACAAATGTATAAGCATAGATTAATTTCAATAGTAACAAATATTTGTAATGAACATTGGAAACTTTAAGAAAGCACTAGATCGTCTAATGGAAATGCTACGATGGTAACGTATTATCTGTGACCAGGTAGAGAATTTTAAGATTTAAGAAATGATTTTTTTTCAATGGAAAACCACTTAAACTGAAATTTTTCTTGTATCCAAATAATTTTAGTGTTCACTAAAATTCATGTGCAACTAACTATTAGCAGTTAAACCTAGCTAAAAATGGAATATGATAGCAGATATATGATTCAGTGATGAAATACGACAACATATATCATGATATTACTTAAAACGTCTTAAAATAACTTTTGAATTTTTAATAATAATGTATTAATTTCAATGGTTAAGATCATGAGTCAGTTGAAGTTAGACCACCATGGAAAACTTGGGAGCACTGTACGGACGTTTAATCCCATTATGCGACTCCTCAGCAGTGTATATCCACGAACTCGCCCCTTGAGAGACTCATGATCTCAACCACTGAAATTACTATAATATTTACAAAGCCCATCTGAAATTAACCAACATGAGCTCACTAGTGACTGGCTTCAAGAGGTATTCTCTGGAGTTCTAGTGATAAGTAGTGACCAGTGGATTTCAACCAAGTCTGTTGTGAGATAGTAACTCAATGAAGACAATGGTGGATGTGTCGCTCAATTTCGTGGATTGGTTGAAGTTAGACATTAACACCGTTGGATGCCGGCCAGCTCAGTGGTCTAGCAGTTAAGTGCTCGCGCGCGAAACCCGTAGGTCCCGGGTTCTAATTCCGCAGGGGACGAGGTCGTGAGCGCGCGCTGCTGAGTAGTCCCACAATGGGATGAAACTGTCGCAAGACTTCCATGGTGGTCTAGCTTCAACTGACTGATGGTCTTAATCACTGAAATTACTATAATATCCACAAAACCCATCTGATAATAATGTATTAATTAAAAAGGAATAAATATATCACTTAACTGAACAACTGATTTGTAATGCACCCAAAAGTAATAACAATAAATAATTAATAAAATTACCTTTCTCTTGACTTATATTCTGTGTCCCATATTTCGCTCGAACTCTGGATGCCACATCATTTTGTGCATGTTGATCGTGTAAATTATCATAATTTTTCTGAGAAGGATTTAATTTCCAAAATATTGATAAAAGTTTTCTAAGTTTTGTATTTACTTCGATTTGCTCAAATGAATTGTGAGGATATCTTTTGCGTACTAAATGTAAAAAATTCGAATAAAAATGTATTTAACTAACTAAATCAGATGGAATAGATCACTTTGTAATAAAGAAAGATGTATTTTTTTCAGTGAAATTGAATATTAGACATCAGTTTAAACTATGCTTCCAGTAGATTTACGTATCAACGTTTTAGTTGAAGTCAAAGAAGCTCTGGTTGACTGTTTCTTCTTGATATGGGAGGCTTTAGTAGTACACATCTACAACCACACCAAAGGTAGAAATCAGGGTCTTATGATGAGTGCCTAATGTTAAGGCTATTGAGCTGTCAACTAGCAATTCATATGTTCAAAATGTTTAACAACTTCTCTGTACTTCCTAGTTTTCGATATTTTTTTATTTCGAAAGTCAACACTTTGTTTCAATTTTTAGGTACTATAGTTCGATAATTTTAATCAGAGAATTTACTAGTATTTATATTTTCATGATAATTTCTAGAACCCAAGAAAATCTTATAGACAGCGAACTACTATCATTTTACAACACTTTACGTAATATTTTTACATCTGTAACTGTTGAATATTAAGATAAATTATACAAACGATGATAAAAAAAACGTATTACATGCACGTAGAATAAATGAAATCATTCCCAGAAAGGGATTCTGTGGATACTTTAGTAATTTAATAGTTGAATTTATGAGTAGGTTAAAGCTAGACCACCATAGAAACCCTGGAAGCACTAGACGGCCGTTTCGTCTTAGTATGGGACTCCTCAGAAGTGCGCAGCCACGCTCCCGCCTCGCAAGATTTGAACCCAAGAATTGTCAGTCTTGCGCACGAACGCTTAACCTCTAGACCACTGAGTCGGCACCTGGAACCTATCGTTCCTGGGTTCAAATCTCGTGGGGCGAGATCGTGAATGCGCGCCGCTGAGGAGTTTCATATTAAGACTAGACGATCATCTAATGCTTACAGATTTTCCATGGTTATCTAGATTTAATCTACTCACAAATTCAGCTATTAGATATTATTCCCATTTATTCATCAGTTTAATATACAGTCAATTTATCTTATAATATTAAAATTTATATATAAATGGTGTAACACAATATAACCGTTCAATATTTTCTTAATTCATTTATCAGATACTCTGATAAGTTAATGACAGTTCATAGTAGTTCTAAGTATGTAGATTGATGAATAATGTATCCACAAATAAACAAACAAACAGACAATAATAAAAAGTCAATCAATTAATCATTTAAAAGACAAATAAAGAAACTAATCCAGGTATTAATTATTATCAACGATAAGAACCATTGTACAACATATTCATTTATGTTATTTCATTGAATGTATATCTTAAATGATAGAATAATTGTTAATCAATAAAAGAAAGGATTGAAAAAAACCCCCATAATTATCAATGATCTCTTAGTAAATTAATAATGACAAGTTTAATCAACAAGTTTTGTTTTTCCTAATTAATCTTGATGTGAAGTAAAGAAAAAACATAATACATTGAATATATATGATAGTTAATAATTAATAATCTTTGTCAATGAATAAAATAATCGGTAGAATTGATATAAACCTAGAGATAGTTTAGAACTATTTGAAAATCTTCATATTCAATTGATGAGGAGATTGAAATCAAATTAATGTAACTATAAAGTTTGTTGAGTTTTTTTCTTAATGGTTCATGTAGTAAACTCCATAGATCTTGGTGTTTCGGTTAAAATTTTAGAGCTAATTACTAATGATCAAGCATTTATCTTTCTGATAGATCTAAGAATAGGTTAGCTTAATCACTTGCAGATATCAATTTAAGAATTGTTAACAGATAAAGAACACTGAATAGATATTTCATCCAAGTTTATTGGTTGAATGTATATGAAGTAATTAGTACCATTTTATTTATCTTGTTCTGAAATTACACCTTTTTTATTTACTTGCTTGTTCACTCACAACGGCTTTTCATTTAATTAATTAGGTCTCAAATTATCAGTTCGTTTAGACATACTGGAATAATTACCTAGAGTAAAGTGATTAGTTCAGTATATATAAAGTTAGAAAAGTTATTTAGCATGAAAATTTTATTTACGTACACGTGAAGGACCCAGTTAATTATGCCTTTATCATATTTACCTCTTATGATATGGTTGTACAAGTAATAATAATGGTTGGGACATATTATTTAATGAACATTATATTCTTTGGATTGCAACATGGCTGGCAGAAATTTATTAGCATGAAGTACTACATAAAATAATTTTCGCTAGTATCAAAATCTTAGTTCAGAAATTTCCTGTAAGAGTAAATGAACCATAATATCTCTGACTGTGACAATAATTGACCTGGATATGAATCTCATGAGGAACGTTAGTTTTTTTTAAAACTTTCTGATGATTTTGTTGATAAGTATAAGCTAACACAAAATATAGATGAGAAGATTGCTTCTGACCACTCTAAAGCAACCATGGTGGGCTATTATTTGAATTTACTCAGACTAAAGACCACTTAGTGAATGAAATTTAAATCAGAAGTGATGATAAAAATTTTTTAAAAATTATCAGTTAGCATGAGTTCCTAACTTTTATTTTTGATGAAAGTTACTGGCAAGAATAATTTCACAACCCTGATAAACTAAAATGACAAGAGAATCTTAACATTTTTCACAGAACTTTGCGAAGCTATGATGTCATTAAAAGCACTATTTTAACCTTTCTAACAAGCACTTATCCTCTTAAGTGAATGATGAACTTTGACCATATTAGTTTATATAGCAACTAGTAAGAACTAGTCAATTATTTTCAGTATAATTTTTTCACTTTACCATGTTACGACTGCTATGAAACATGATGTAAATCCACATGTACTAGACATGAACATTTATATAATTTGACATTTTTCAAAAATGATTATACATTATTACTAGATAGTTATTAAATAAATCTCTTTAATAAGCAGTTGGGAGTGAATATTTAATAAATAACAGGGAATGAGCAGTTGACGTAATCGTTTCCATGTTTGAAATTTAGAAACTTTACGGTCTAATATGTGTTATTAACTTACATTTTTGACTACAATTATGAATAACGAAGTAATGTAGATAAAAGTGGACTTTGTGGAGATTATAGTAATTTAATAGTTAAATTCATGAGTAGGTTAAAGCTAGACCACCATGGAAAACCTGAAAGCGCTAGACGGCTGTTTTGTTCTAGTATGAGACTCCTCAGCACTGCGCATCAAGACCGTTGGATGACGGCTCAGTTGTCTAGACGTTGAGCATTTACGCGCAAAACCTGACGTCCTAGGTTCGAACCCTGCGGGCAGGATCATAGAGGCTCACTATTGATGAGCCCCGTACTAGGACGAAACATCCATCCAGTGCTTCCAGGTTTTCCATGGTGGTCTAGCTTTAGTTGACTCATGAATCCAGCCATTAATAACAATAATAATAATAATAACTACATTATCTTTCTTTATATTTCTTAATCATCATTATTAACCTTTCCAAAATACTTACAATGTAGTGGATTCATCAAAAGGTATTTTTATCAGAATCGGTTTGTGGAGATTTTTAGAAATTTCACAAGTTGAAATCATGAGTCAGTTGAAGCTAGACAATTATGGAAAACCTGGAAGCACTGGACGGCCGTTTCGTCCTATTGTGGGACTACTCAGCAGTGTATTTTATTTAATGCGAATAATATTCATTATTACGTTTACTACTGTGAAAATCTTTGAAAAATTATATGAATTGAGATTTCGCAAAATTTTATTTACTTGAGAAGTACTAATACCAATCATTGATGTAAGTCAAAAAAGCGAATATATAACAAAGAGCACTGAAAAGTTATTTCTTTGTTGTTTAAAACTTGTCAGAGGTGACCATCAAGCGCTTAACGTGCTATCCACTGTAACTCATTTTCATTTTACCCACTAAATTATTTAATAAGTTTCATTCTGATGGTTGACATTATCAACGTTGATGAAACCTTGATACCGCTTAACAATAATGTTATGTCATCGGTAGATAACTTTTATCATGCTCACTTAGTTGAGAATATTGGTCTCGGATTCATATCAAGACTTTTGCCAGCAAATCCAAAGCTACTTAACTAACTAGTGGTTATGTAATCACTAAAGATTAATGATTGTAAACTGTCATTATTTTTAAACTTATTAAGTGTAGACTTTTACTCTAATTCAAGTAGTGAGTAAACTAAATAGGTTCGAGGATAGTTTTCACTAACAAGTGTGTTTGGAGCTACCATATTAAGAATTACAACGATGTTGTAAAAAAACAGATATTTTATTCAGTTAACACGGTAAAATAGGAAATCTGAAAAGAGATATAGTGATTTCTAAAGTACTAATCCAGTTATTGATAATATTTCATAATTTTTGGGATGTATATAAACCTGTTTAACTTATAAACAAAGCACTATCTAGTTACATCATTTTATTCATAAAAATCTGTTGAAATGAAGATGTTGGTATGATGAATACAAAGACCGTATATAACTATATATACGAATGTACAGCTTAAGTAAATGATTTCGTCGAAAAGAAAATTTTCTTCGCTGAATTCTCTTTTTCTCATTCAATGACACTATGGATTATTTTAATTAGACTATGTAGTCCTTCAGAGAAATTAAAATTACGTTTTATTTAGGTATAAAAATTTAAACGAATGTATCATAATGATATAAGTATTTCAAGGATGCGATATAACTATTTTTTGTTTGCATTTAGTCCTTTTTCTTTGAAAAAGACATGGAAACGTGTAACTTTTCTGTTCTGTGACATCTTTCGCCGAATTTGTAATGAATGTCGTTATATTAAGCGTAAGGACTAAGTGGAGTTTGTAGGAGATGATTACTTTTATCGTCTAATTAGTGTAGTGCTATATAATAAGAGGGTTTGATGATTTTCACTTTTTACAGTGCCAAAGAAAGACAGCAATGTCTGGATTCATCTCTCTACATTTATCTTTACTATTGTTTTCCCTAGTGATTTTATACGTTTTAATATTGTTTTTAACAACTAAGTTAAACTAAGTGGTGCATTTATTTGCGTATTGCGTCATGATTCTCAGAGGACTAAATTAACCAATAAGAGATTAACATCACCAAAGGCTAATGTTGTCTTTGGTAATTAGTTTTGAGATATAATAATTCCTTTTATCACCGAATAAATAAGCACAATGTTTTGAACAAAATTAATTACATTAGTGGAGAAAGTAAGGTGGATATATTTTATTTTGAAAAGAGAAATGAATGTTAAATAATAGCTAAAAACGTTTTAAAATGTTCACTGTACAACACATGTAGTTTAATTACACAGATAAAGCATAAAAGTTACGTATTAGCTAATGAGAGATGTAACATGAATATATATGGGGAGAGAACATATGTTGTAAGTAGGTAAATAATCATATTGTCGTTAAGTAAGTTACCCAACCGAACTTCCTCAGTTGAAGATATATTTGATGTTCATACTTCATATGAAAAAAATATCACTTGGGACATGATTTAAAAAAGTTACTACTTAAGTATGTATGGTTATATAACTAACAAAAGCAGCCTAAATAGGGCTAAATAATATATAAACAATTGACTTACTGATAATATCTAAAAATGCTCTGTCTATGATTTTTTCTTGCCCATAATTTGCTGCTTCATAAACTCTACATTCATAAATACCACCATCATTTTCTCTGGCTGACTGTACAGTAAGAAGTACTTCACTACGATAGTTATAATTTAATTCACCGGTAACTTGTTTATAAATGGTTATCCCGACTGATGATCTGCTGGTGATTTGTTGAAATGAATAAGCAAGTTCACCAACTATATTACTGATATTACTGTACTTTGAATTGTGTGAGTTTAAATCTGATTGCATAGATAAAATGTTGTTTAGGACTTGTGGATTAACTAATATCGTAGGTCGACTTGAAGATGTTTCAATTAAATAAGTTGGTCGGAACCAATCTATTGCTATATTAACTGATTTATCTTTCGTAACATACACCGAACAGGTGAGATTAAATGCAGATCCAATGGTAATGAAGGTTGGAGATGATATTGTAACTTTTAGAAAAAAAAGAAATAAAAAACTTTATTCATGTTATCAACAGGTGATCTGTAGTCATATAGTTATAAACCTAGGAACCTAGCTAGCGAATGAACATTTAAATCTATGAAGTCAAAATTTTCAACAAAAATGCTAATTCTCTAATCAGCTATCATGAGCTGAAATAGTTTAGAACATTTTTATAGACCTAGATTCATAAAAAATTGTTCCTCTTTAACCGGGAGATGCTTAACAGCTGATACCTCCAAGCACTCAAATATCTTACTGACTTACTTGCTCACTCAAATATCAAATTCAGTATTTTCATTTCACTTTAATAAGAAAATTTATAGATTTTATGTTTCATTAACCTAATGACAGTAACAAAACAAGCACTTGTCCTTATAAAAGTTCCTCCTCTACCATACATTTGGTTAAGATTCCGTGTTTCACATTTATGTTAAATTCACTGAAATGTTAATTGGATGCGGAATACTAACAGTCAAAGGATCACTAAGAATTTGATTTTCTTACAGGTGCTGTTTCTTCTTGATTAGAAGTTTTTGTTATCAAATGGAGAATAGTTTAGACTGTTAACTAAGAAGGAGTGTTAAACTTTATTTTCCATTGTTTAGATGAAAATAAATAAAAAAGTTTTGATATCAAGACAGAAATCTAACTTCATAGGTTGTATAAATTAGAACAATGAGGAATGTTTTGTAATAAGTTAAATCTTACTTATCTAAATTTATATAGATAGATTAACATTACTAAATATTAACATTTAACAAGTTAACTGACATTGAAATAATACCATTTACTACAACTGAAAAAGTTTACTCATTTACTTGGGATTTTTTTAGCTACTTCAAGAACATTCCTTAGGTTGAAGATTTAGAAGTATGAATCAATCAATCAATCAATCAGGCGAATCAATGAAATTGTGGTTCATAAATGAACATAACCAGAAACTATATGTAGTACTCAACATTTTCTAAATGAGTATAATACTTGTGGTTTATAAATATATTTTAAATACTGAAATTCATTTGTATTTAATATTACTTATTTCGTTCAATGTTCTAAACTAAATTATTTAAAATACATATACAAGTTTGCAATAGTCATAATCCTCAAAATGTTTTAATGTAAACAATTTATTTCGCCCTAATTAATAAATCAATCTAATATGCCATATTGTATTATTATACTTAAAACAAAGTATATATCTAATTGTTATATTTGATGAACTGTCATACAAACTTAATGAACAATATATTTAAAGGATTTAAGTAATCTATTTAATTTGTCTCCAAATTTTATCATGATTCGACTATAAAAATCATGATAATCGGTAATAATTCCGTCGACTAATACGCCCGTTCAAATTATATATATATATATATATATATATATATATATATATATATATATATATATATATATATATATATATATATATATATATATATATATATATATCGTATCTGTTTTTCATATAACACGAAAAGCCTAATCAAAACAAAACGATCAAACCACATAATGTATGCATAAAGCAACTTGATTATTAATGCTTTTTTTCACCAAGATTTTGTTTACCACATTGTTCATAGGTTTAAATTGAGTTTCTATTGAGTTTTTGGATAAATAGACGATACAAATATAAAAATACATAATATATATTTTTAAAAAATATTATCTAACGAATTCATTACTGACCAATGTTTCACTTTGTATCTTTATAATCTTTCTCTTTTTTTGAAAAAAGGGGGGGTAGATCTTAACCAAATAGTAGTAATAATAACACGGTGCATAAATCATCAATCAGTTGCCGATAAATTGTTTATTTAATTTCTTTATTCATTCTTTTTTTTCTTTTTTCAAAGACAATTGATAAATGAATAGATGGGTCAGATAAGATAATCAAATTTGTAAACATATAAATAACTTATAAGGTAGATTTGTCAATATTCAAATGAATAGAATAATAGAAATATAATATCTAAATAATAATTTCACAAAGAAAAAAGAGAAAAAGAAAAAGAATTTCTGATTTGTTTACTAAAAAGTAGAAAAATAAAACAACTTCAAAATTAGAAAAATTATTTACAATCATTTATGTTCCAAATTTCTTATTTCTTATTTACATTCTAAAAGATAAATGAACGACAAATAATCATAGAAAACAGATTAGATCACATTTAGTGAGAGAAATAAATGAAAGATAAGTTAAGGGAAAGTGTATACTTGAAAGTAGTTTTTTTTAAAAACACAAAGAAAATGGGTTTGGTAACGTAAACTTCTCACTGTCTCTCTAATAGAATTTTGAAAGATTTTAGTGTTTTTATTTGGTAGGAATATTATCAAGTAATAAATTATCATTATATAATTATTTAATTATTCTGTAATTATGGGATTTATTATTAGGGATTAATATAGGTTATGAAAAAAAAATCGAAGGTCCAAATGGGTTGAACAATTATTTTATCTCTGTTTGGAACTTCCTAACAGTGTTTATTTATGATTTTACATACAATCTAGTAAGTTCATGTCTCAAAGTGAGGACAATATATATATGAGTAATATTTTAAGTATATTCTAGTTTTCATAGGTAAGTAGACATCAGACTAATAGTATTAATAATACGAAGAAATGCAGCATAAACGTTGTTTTGCAATTATTTAGCATAAATTAGATTCAATGTAGGAACCTACAGAGAATACATTCTGTGGTTTATTAAAATCGATATTATTTTGAAAATCAAATAATACAATTGATGATCTTTTTTTATCATAAGATGAAATAAAAAGTCATTTTCTTTGTCTGCCAATATACAATAATAGTGCATAAAAGGTGACAGAACGACAATGTTTTCTAAATACAGCTAAAAGTTGTACTGATGAAACACAAGGACTAGGAATATCTTCTTAGAGAAAGTTGCTGTTATTCTACGAAAAAAAAGTTATAGTTTTTTTTCGAAACTGTTTACAATTGACTATCATTATGAGTATGAAAAAGTAAGAGATGAAAATTAAACTAGAACGTATTTCTATTAGAGGATAACATAATAATATTACATATACTTTAGAAATAATGAATCTTCAATGTAGTATTTTTCTACCTTTTTCATATACAAAAGACTACCTAAGAATAAATCGAGAAAAACATATAAGTGAGATAATAACTTTGTTTTCAATCATTACTTTGAAGAAGTCCAGACAAGTTAACTGGATGAAACCTTGGAATTATTTGAATTTCAATAACTGAAAGTATTTCAAATATAATTTTCACATATAATGAGATAAAAACTGTTTAGAACTATCGTTGATTTTGAAAAACATCCATATAAACAATCAGTTTTCTAAAGATTATATCATTTTACGTAACTTTTAATATTCTTCTAACTATATTTACTATGAATAAGAACTTTTGTCTAAATTTGAACAAATAGTTTCACAATATTTGTGCGCCGAGTTAATATGAGTTACTAAAGTGGAATAAAGTATTTGTAAAATCTCAGCGAAAGAATTTGAAGTAAGCCCAACGTTTCGCCTGGCAATCTGATTCAAGTTTTTTCAAGGAAAATATAATCAAACAACAAAATTATCGAATAACCATGTATGAGTTCACTTGGTATTGTTTGGCTTGTATCTTCCCATTGAAGTTTAAGACTGCAATTGATCAGTCGGTTATTGGCATATGTGCATACTGTGCGAATGCCTGACAGATGCATTCCCAGTAAGGACCGGAGTAAGACAAGGCTGTTTACGCTCTCCCTTCCTCTTTCTTCTGGTGGTCGACTGGATTATGAAGACCTCGACATCTGAAGGAAAACACGGAATACAAAGGACAGCTCGAAATCATTTAGACGATTTGGACTTCGCAGATAACCTAGCCCTCCTATCACGTACAAACGAACAGATGCAGATGAAGACAGCCAGTGTAGCAGCAGTCTCTGCATCAGTAGGCCTCAGCATACACAAAGGGAAAACCAAAGTCCTCAAATTCAAAGCGGAAAACAACAATTTAATCACTCTTGATGGCGAAACTCTGGAATATGTAGAGTCCTTCACATACCTAGGAAGTATCGTCGATGAACAAGGAGGTTCAGATGCAAACGTAAAGGCAAGGATTGGCAAAGCAAGGACAGCATTCCTACAATTAAAGAACATATGGAACTCAAAACAACTTTCAACCAATATCAAAGTGAGAATCTTCAATACCAACGTCAAGTCAGTTCTACTGTATGGAGCTGAAACTTGGAGAACTACAACAACCACCATCAAGAAGGTACAAGTATTTATAAATAGCTGTCTACGCAAGATACTCAACATCCATTGGCCGGATACCATCAGCAATAGCCTTCTGTGGAAGAGAACAAACCAACTTCCAGCTGAAGAAGAAATTACGAAAAGACGATAGAAATGGATAGGACATACATTACGCAAATCATCAAACTGCATCACGAGGCAAGCGCTAACTTGGAATCCTGAAGGGAAGCAAAAAAGAGGAAAGCCAAAGAACACATTGCGTCGGATAATAAAAGCAGATATGAAAACGATGAATTACAACTGGACGGAGCTAGAAAGGATTGCCCAGGACAGGGTTGGATGGAGAATGCCGGTGAGCGGCCTATGCTCCTTCACGAGGAGTAACAGGCGTAAGTAAGTAAGTGCGTATGCCTCGATATTACCTTAATTCACAAGATATTTGTAATCAGTGATGGATGAATATAATTATGAATTTAACTTGATCAATGATTATTAATAGAAATGGATGTATTATTATGCAAAATATTACCGTAGATTTCATAAACTTGATTGTAACCCTTCAAATAATAGAATAATTAACGGTTACTGTAATTTTAAGTGATCTTTATATTATTCCGTAGTAAGTAATAATATCTAAGTAAATTTTAATTTAATTACATAACAAAAATAATAAAATTGTCTTTTTTATAGAGAAAAAATCAAGTTCATCATTAGTGAAATGGATACATAAAATAAACAAAGAACAA